GGAAATAATTTCATTAGCAGTTAAAAATTGCAGTAATATTGTGTATTGTATAGCTGCTATGGTAACTGGAAAACACAATGCAAAAATCTGCAGTGCTATTGTTGCAAGTAAATCTTATTACTATGACTAAGGCACAGATAAGTTGCTGCAATAATACCTCTGACAATTTTTATTGCAAAAAATGTAAAATCCAGGGATAAGAATTTTATCATCGGGAATGATAATAATTCAAGCCTGTGGGTGCACTTCATAGACTAGAATCTCTATTTGGGGGGTTTCTGAAACAGTGACTGGCAAAGCTGCTTCACTGAAAATAATTTCTATCATTTCAAAACTGTCATGGCAGAGAAGATTTGAAGTTTTGGGGTGGCATTTTCCTTTTTTTTTTTTTTTACTTTTTGTATTCTATCTTCACTGTAAGCTTGATGATACCTAAAGGCAAAATAGAAATTATTTTAAATGTTGAATCTTCTGTTAAGTAAAATATCTACAAATTTTTGCAGTCAACACCTGGGGCAAATGGACAGGACAATTAAAGTAACTTGCATCTACAGGTCTATTACATGCAGATTAAGCCTGGGATGGAAGGAGATAATAAATCAAGACCTGAGTAAACAGGGGGTTAGAAAGGGGCAGAAGCACAGTGGGAAATTCCCCTTTGGAAGGGGGAGGGTCAGTGGGATATACTTACTGGTATGTAGGGGAAATGGGAACCTTAAGAAAAAGTTATCTTCTAGAATGTCAAAAGATCTCAGATTATATATGGCATGGAAGGTGGTCATGGGAATTGGGGATAAATGAATTCTTAGTAATTATTATAAAATTATGAGTCTACGTAAGTTATTGGTGTTCCACTCTTGGTAATCACTGAGTTAATGGGAGATGAATAATGTTAAAAGCAGTTTCTTTTGAGATTCATTATTCCTTGAGGTAGTGATGTTTGGTAGCAACTAAGTATTGTCCATGTTATTCTTGAAGGACTATTTTTTTTTTTTTTACTGTTTATTACTTATTATTTTTGACTCTGTTTGCTACCAAACACAATGGTATACATTATTAATTACCATTTATTGACTGTTTAGTATGTGTCAGGCACTTTACGTACATATCTTCCATCTCCTCAACATCCCAGAAAGGTAAGCATGATTATTTGTTTGACAGAATAAGAAGCTGGGACTCAGAGAGGTGAAGTAATTTGTTTTACTTTCTTGCATGCATGCTGAACATCTGTTTCTGAAAACTGTTTGCGAACAGGGACTATACCTTTTATATATACCTTTATATATATACCTTCTATACCTTTTATATATACCTTTATATATATACCTTTTACCGTTAATAGCATTTAATGTGATCAATACTCAGTTGGTATTCAGTATCGAATAAGTGGATAAAAAGATCTTAAAGTATTATATATTTAAGATTCTCCAATAAATTTAGTTAGCAGTCAGGTTATTAAAGAAAAAAAAAGTTATAAGGGAAGAAGTAGCTGCTCTGTGGGGCCTCCAGGAGCCTGTGAACTTGAGCTAAGCAACAATGTCAAGGTCTGCTTTTAATTCCTTCATTTCTAAACTTGGTCTCTTCCTTGCTACCTTTGCAGCTAGGATGAAAAAGAAGAGTTTACATCCAAGAGAAATACTTCCCCTCAAAAGAAAAGCTGTCTTATAAGAAACTGTTGTTCTTGAAATTTTCCACAACTTGAGAAAGATTCCCTAGGGTCCTACACACTCCTCCTTCTCCTTCTTCTTCTTTTTAGGAAGGGAAAGAGTATTAAAAGAAGCCAGGATAACCACATGAGAAAGTTTGAAGAACAATATTAAATAGGATGCAAAACCCTCCTGATTATCATGTGGGTTGTTCCTGAAGGGCAACATAGATTAAAATAGTTTATGACCATTTCTATAAATTAGCCATTTAAAAAAACCCATGGGCTTCCCTGGTGGCGCAGTGGTTGAGAGTCTGCCTGCCGATGCATGGGACACGGGTTCGTGCCCCGGTCCGGGAAGATCCCACATGCCGCGGAGCGGCTGGGCCTGTGAGCCATGCCCGCTGAGCCTGCGCGTCTGGAGCCTGTGCTCTGCAATGGGAGAGGCCGCAAAAGGGAGAGGCCCCCGAAAAAAAAAAAAAAAAAAAAAAAAGCACAACAAAACCCATACACTTAAATCCAATTATGATCACAATAATAGCTGTAGGTTATAGTGACTTAGTAAACCACTCAGGAAGGACACCAGAGAACTGCAAGATGTACACAAAATAAAAATCAATATAATTATTATGGTTATCTTTAATATTTTAAAATTGAGACAATAGCAAAATAAGTGATATCTATGCCCTTTTCTGTTAAATGTACATTGTGTTCTTGTATTATATCACTTTCTTTATTGAAAATGGAAATAGAATTCGATACTGGATTCAAGCCTTCTGTGTCTTCCCATCTATCCTGATTCTTCAATCTCTCTCTCCTTTCTCTTGCCTCCCTATGTCTACAGATGAGCTCGACTCTCACGGTCACTGCCCTTCTTCCTGTCCTTCAAAGAATCCTTCCCTAGACCCTAACACCTTTCAAGCTATTTTGTCCATGCACCCTGCTCTCTGTCCTTAGTAAGATTAAGAATGAGCCTTAATTGTTTCCAGGATTCATCTTGCTTGTTTTCTTTTCATATGTTAGCTTCCTTCTCTTTTTTCAATTTGCCCATGGCTTGTAGGGTGCTCCTACTTCTCTGACCATTTCCTCCTCAGTCTCTTTCCCACTTTGCTTCTTCCTCAAATGTTGAGATTCCTCGCCCTCTCTCCCCCCCCCCCCCCCAATTTCATTCTTTGTCCTCTTTCTCTATGCCAGAGGTCTGTGAACCACCTAAAACTGAAAGCGAACTTTTGTGTCTTATGATAGGACATATTTCTCCTTGGGAAAGTATCTATGCCTTTCTTTATCGTTCTCAAAAGGGTCCTTGGTTCTTTTAACAAGGTTAAGTGCCCGTGCCCTCACACTCTTCTTAGGTTATTTCATCCTCTCCTTTGCCTCTAACTACCCTTCTTACACACCAACCACTCCCAAGTTCATCTACAATTCCTACCAGAAGAATAAGATTCATAGAACTGTTTAAGAATCAGAACAAGAAGAAATTGCACCGTGAACATTTTGTGCCTAGCTCAGCTTACTGAATCTGGTTCACTGAGGACCAGTTGACTAAATGTTAGGCGGGGGCTGGCCGGGTCATTACTTCACAGTTTGTCAGAGGAAAAACCCCAGGAGGTGAAATCAAGACTGTGTTCGCAAACACCCTAGCGGCTAGTAGCGGAGAGAGCACACCCAGATCCTAGGGTGGGGACAGGAGAGAAAAGGAGAGAAAACCCCAGTAGCCGCACAGCCCACAGCTGCGGCGAAGCCAGTCGCGGGCTCTGCTCTCAGACTCCAGACAGAAACCCCGCCCAGCACCCGGCATGCCTTTGACCGACATCCACCTTCAGCAACCACCTTTCAGATCACTATAAACACTCCTTACTCCTCCCACCTATCGCTTCCCTCTCGAAGCCAATCAGAGGAATGGGCGGGATTGTCCTTAGAGGGTTCCAGTGTTTTTTTTTTGTTTTTTTTTTTCTTAAAGAAGGGTATACTGTACACCGCGTTCCGGCTGGGGAAAAAAACACCTCCAGAACTTGCGGGGGAGGGGGGCGTGGAGCCCTGTGATGGGCACTCGGGTCGGCCAATGAGGCGTCCCCGCCCCTTAAAGGCCCTGCCGCCGAGGTGGGCGGGGAAAGCGCGGGGCCCGGCCAATGGCGGCGGGGCGGACGGAGGTTGAGCGGCCGTGGGTAGGGTTAGTGTGAGAGGTACGGCGGGGGAGGTAATGATGGTGGTGGCTGAGGAGAAAGGCGGGGGAGGGGGTGCTGGGCGCTGAGCGGCGGCTCTGGCAGGGTTTTGTAGGGTGGGGGACGGTCGCGGGGCGACTCCGTCCGGGAGGGGGCGGGCGTGAGGCGCGCCGTCCGCCTGAGGGGCTGCAGACCCCGGCTCCCGGGAGCGCCGCGGCTGGCTCGGCTGTTCCATGTGGCTCCGGCGGGGATGGAGGACTCGGTGGCGGCGGCGGCGACTGCTGCTGCGGCGGCGACGGAGGAGCGGCGCTGAGGAGGGAACCGGGCCAGACTCAGCCCGACAGCGGGATTAGAGGTGTGAGGAGGGGGCGGGAGTGGACGTGCGGTGGGACCGGGGCTCTGGGACCGGGCTGGGGTCTTCTGGCATCGCCTGGGTGACAGGGACCGCTGGCGAGCCACCGCCTGCCTCAGTTGGGGGGCAGGGGTCTGGGCTCTGTGCGGGAGGAGAGGAGGCTTCGGCGGACTATTCCCTGAGGATGGGGGAGGGAGGCATTGCACCCCGCACCGTGCACTTGCCTCGCTGGTCATTGCTTCACGCCCAGGCAGGAGTTCCATTTCCCTCCGGTTGGCAGCAAAGGTGGAGGAGAGCCCAAGTGGCCTGGAGCCGGGACACTGCCCTCTCTCTGTCTTGAGACTACCCTCCACTCCTTTTTCCCCATCCATTTCCCCCTCCGACTCAACAGCAGCGTTCTTCCCCGCTCCTTAATTTGTTCCACGCACATATTCTAGGACTCAGAGCTATTCACTATCGGCTGAAAAACAAAGTTTATTTTAAAATACTCCACTTCTTCCTCTGACTGGCGGTGGACATTAAACAGCATCCCTAGACTTTCCCGCTCTGCTCGCCCTTCTGTGATGCTAGGAGAGGGAGGTAGGGCCCCGACTTTCGCCTCTCGATCGTTGTGGATGCTGATTACCTGATGTGTTGCTCCACGTCTTTGGTGTGAATTGTAATTTCTTCCTTGGTGTCTTGCATCCTTGATGTTACTGGCTTTTGAGGTTGGTGTTTTGTTTCATTGTTTGAAAAACATGCGGAGAACTGGGCTTGTCTGTTGCAGTGTTATCTAACATGGGTGGTTAGTCACTTCTCATGCTTCTCTCCTCATATTTTTTCTCTTTGTTTTGCTTTTCAGTCCTCCAGAATACACATCATATAACCCACGAGGTGGAATGGTGATGTCTCCATGAGGGAACCTCCTCTCACTCATCCTGTGATGTGTGTCATACTGTTCTTGACTGGGCCATTCATCTAAGATGTGATTTACCCTGTGAAACAGGGAGAAGACTTATGGACCCCAAACATCATTTCAAGTTGTAGTTGAGTTTTTTAAAGTACAGACATACGTGCAAAGCTCCTTTGCTTTGGACCCTCTGCTTTGTTAAAGCTGCTGTGTTGCTAACCCAGAACTGCTCCACTGTTTTGACTGATCATCATGGCTTCAGTTTGGAAGAGACTACAGCGTGTGGGAAAACACGCATCCAAGTTCCAGTTTGTGGCCTCCTACCAGGAGCTGATGGTTGAATGTACCAAGAAATGGTAAGAAGTGCCTGGGCGTAGAGTTTGCTGTGCTGTGGCCTAAACTCACTGTGGCCTAAACTCTGCTGCTTCTGACAGCAGATTTACCTTTCTGTAGTGCACAAGTGTGTAGAAGCTGGGCGGGGTGCAGATTACTCTAACAAGTACTGTGGTGTGCACTGTTGCTGCTGGTACCGACCCTGTGGGTTTTAATTACTGCACTTCAGTATGGCTCAGAGGACTGTAACTATGAGAGCACACCAAGTACAGTAGATTTGGTCTTGAGGTCTTTCATCATTAGTCTTAGAATAACTTTGATTTTTATAACTTTAAGGAGGCATGAAGAATGGCTATTGAAATATTGTAAACATATATGCATATGTTTTGATGTAACATATGTCTATGTTTCAATAGTTTTAATACGGAAATCTGTTCTTGTGGGGTGGTGATAATCTGTTTTAATTTGTTCTTGATCTTTATTTTTTTTGCTTAAAATAACTTTTCATTATTTGCATAATAGAGTGCCAGTCCATACAACCTTAGAAATTCTTTTGTTCTGTGCTTAGTCAGGCAACTGTGTTTTATTTTAATTGCCTAATGGGATACATTTCTTGGCCAGACTTAAGGAAGCAATTAGTAGTGCTGGTCTATGATTTGCTTCTTTCCACTTGAGCAAAGTAAATTTAGGGCTTTCTTTTCACTGCCCTGAATGATAAGCAAGAAGAATTCTTATTTAGTCAGAGGAAAAAAGTTAATCTTAAGCAAATGGTACTTTGGGTTTTGATTTATTGCAGTGATTAAGCAGTATTACTGCAAAAGTAAGTCCATTTCCTTGTCCACATGGACTGTAATCTCATGTCTGTGTTAATCTCTCTTTTTAACATCCTTTTTATTAAACGGAAAAATAGCTTCCTCTACTCTAGAACTCTTAAAGCATATTTGAATATTTATTTGGAAACTAGTTTCCAAATGCTTTTCTCTTGAACTTGTTAGGAATGTTGCTTTATGTGCAATTCAAGAAATGCATGTACTGATTACCTACTTTATAGTAGGCTCTGTGGCTTTAGAGTTGAATATGACATAATCCCCACCCTCAAGGAGTTCACAGTCCAGGGTGATGACAGTCATGTAAATAAATTCTCTGTGATAGGTGCAATAATATAAATATGATGTAGGGATCTTTATCTGTCTCTGTCACTTAACAGTTGGATATCCTTGGGGACAGGTTATTTACTCCTCTGAGATAGTTTTCATATCGACAAAGGTAATAATGGTACCAATTCATAGGAAGGGTTATTGTGAAGATTAAATGAGTTAATACATGTAAAATACTTGGAACAATGTCAGGCACATAGTAAATGCCCAATAAAATGTCATCATTACTTACGAAGTTGGCAGACAAGGGAATAATCAACTCTTTAAGGGTAGGGTAGGGTGTGGGATGGCTTTCTTGGAGCTGAGTTGAGTTTTGAAAGATTCATAGTAATTGGCCAGGAAGCTAAAGGGGAAGAAATGAAGGATATTCTAGACTGAAGCAACAGCCTATGTAAAAGCATGGAGGCATGTGGCATGCTGGAAGTTCAAGCAGTGTAGTTGGATAATGATGGGGCTTAAAGTGCAGGATGGGAGGAGTGCAGTGGGCTATGATGTTTTAGAGGCAGGCAGGATTCAAATCATAAAAAGTAAAGTGCTGTTATACATGGCGTGGACTTTATTCTGTGGGTGATGGAGAGATAGGAAAAGGTTTTGAGCAGAAGAGACATTAGGTTTATATTTTGGAAAATCACTTGGATGACAATGTGGAGTAAGGATCAGTGGAAAAGGTAACTGGAGGCAGGGATGGTATGGTAGCTATTGTAATAGATAAGGTGAGAGAAAAGGCTTAGACTAAGGCAGTGGCAGAGGAAATGGAGAGAATAGAGCAGAGGGACACTTAGGACACAAAATGGATAGTACTTGGTGGTCATTTCAGTAGGGGTCTGGAAAGGGTGGGGATGAGGGAGAGGAATAGGTCTAGGTTGATACCCGTTTCTGGCTTGGAGGACTGGGTGTACTACTAACTAAACTAGGGAATACATGAGGAAAATCCTGATTACAAGTACTTCTTAACTTGGCAGTATGCTGGGGGCATCAACTTTAAGACGGTTAAATTTGAATCTCTTTTCTTAAGGGAAATAGAACATGTCAGGCGATCCTTTATTCACAACATGAGTTTCTTCCTCACAGTTTGCGTGATCCCTGGATTTTATTTTTCCTTAAAAAGTGTGTAAGTTATTGTTAATGTGTCTCAAGGTGAAAGCAAGGATGAAAATTTAACTTGATTATAGGTGAATAGATGGCTTAATTATTTTTAGGGTTGGACATTATGGTACACCTGTTAAATTAGATCTTTATGATAAGGTCTGGCCTTAACACAAGAAACATTTGGATATTCTAGAATTTTTAGACATGTAGTTCTAAATATTTTGCATTTTCCCCCTCATTTAAAAATATAGTTTAAAGCTAACGAGGTGACAGTGCCCAAAGAATAATATATTTGTTTGATGTCCTGGAATTTTATTTATAGGTGGATCCTTAAATAAAGCTTTAAAATCTTTTCATTACATACAAATTTGTTGTTATGATTTTTAGTTAGTATTCCTTTTGCCTTACTTTGCATAGGGTCCTTGTGATAAATACAGATTAGGCCCAATTTCTATACTTACATCCTTTTTTTTTTCATTCCTCATGTTGATGCTTGCAAGAATTCTTAAATTATTGGATATGTGTGCTGAATTAGAATCTATTTAAAGGACATAAGAATAAAAACAGACTTGGACACCTTGTAAGAACATATTTTATCAGCTACTTTTACATTTTAGGTATTGTGTTGGTGGTATGGAAAAATAAAAGGAGAGGAAGGAAATTTAGAGATGCCAACTGAATAAAGGGAAAGAGGCATTGAAGATAAATTGTAGGTGTTGAGAGGATAAGAAAATAGATCTAGTATAAATCAGAGAAGAAGGAATAAACTACAAAAAGAAAGGACAGTTAGCATTGCATTGGGATTGTGCCTTTGTAGGTAAACTGTATATAGGTGCCATTGCCTTTTAGAATCTTGCTACTTCAAGTGTTTTCTGAGAGGCAAGAGAGTTTGCAAAAGCCTGTTAGAACGGCTGTCCCTCAGGCCCTGCCCTAGGCTTACTGAATCAGAATCTGCTTTTTAATGAGATACATACTGTGCACATTAATGTTTAAGAAGCAGTATTTTAAAATAATGTTTTCAACCTTACCAAGTGCCCATTCATGACTCCAGGGTAAAGTATACTGATTTCTGCATGAATTTGAAACTCAAGGGAATGAAGATGAAACTCAGTGGATTCAAGAAAGGCATGGAATGGAAGAGGTTGTTGATGGAAGAGGTTAATGGGAATCAGGATATGTTTTCCAAGGGAGAACGCATTATTTCTGTGATTAAGGAGAGGAGAAATGTTTACCACGTTCTCTTGTCATGGCCATAGGTTATGAACCTGGACATGACAGATAACAGGATGAAGGTAAGACTTTCAGGAGGCCGTCTTTTTTTAGATGTAGGCCATGAGCAAACTCACAGCATTTTACCTTGATCAAAGGATGGATTCTATACATTAGAGGGTTTGGAGTTTCTGCTTTCTCACACTTTTCTTTGTTGCTGTCTTACAGTATTTTGCATTTGCCGAAGGTGGTGTGTTTCCTTAGTTCAACAGGGTCTAATTCATGATTCTTTCTTGGCGTAGTGGCTCTAGAAGTTAGGTCAGGAACAAAAACCAGAAAGACTTTTATTCATCTGAGAGAAGGAAACTATACTATGAAGTCCTATTCCTCATCACTCCTTGATAACCAGGTAGAGGCTCTAGCAAATTTGGAGATGATAAGTGTTCATATTCCTCTTCTCTTATTGTTGTCCCCAAGTCATTTAATTATTAACCTCACTTAACTGATGTAGCTCTTGGCAAGTGGTGAGACTGGCCGCTGGAGATGAGTTTGAGAGAATGAGACTGTGCTGTCTTTTCTCTCTTACTTTGTCTCTTATCCTGTACTTTTTATCACCTGCAGCCCTTTAGATTTTAGAGAAGTCTTCACTTGTATGAGCTCTCAATGGCTATTCGGGTGTTTGAGGAAACTACTTGAAAGTTAGCACGTTGTGGTTTCATTGTGGCAGAGCTCAATTCTGATAGGAGCTCCCTTACATGATGAGAACCATTATGAGCATGTATATTTTCTGTGTATGTCTATATATCTTCTACATATATGAACATATTTTATCTGTTTTTATATTTCTTCTATATAAGTCTTAGTTATGGCATTCAAAAAGTATTTAAAGTACTGTAAACTTCTCCCCCAAAGGCATAAATATATTGGTTTCTGGTTTTTCTGTCATGTAAGAGTTCCTTTTTCTTAAATATAGTTTTAATTATAATTTATTTTTAAAATAGGTAATACAATCACACGGTTCAAAATTCTAGAGGTACATAAAGATGTTTATATCCCTGAAAGTAACCCCTCATTTTCTCCATTATTCCACAACTCTTTGCAAACCTTGTGACCTCAGGATTTGAAAAGTAAAAAACTAGCTCTTCCCAGTGCTTAAGTGTGTGACGCTGACCTGTTAGATAAAATATGAACTCCTTAATCTGATGTTCCAGGCCCTCTGTAACTGATCCCAAGTTAGTTTTCCAGTTGGATGTTAGAATGCTACATGCACTGTAAGTATTAACTTGAGTTTACGAAGGCCAAATTACATTAATAAGTACTCATCCAGATCCACTTCTTTGGGTGGCTTAAGCAAGCATTTCTCTGTTGCTCTAATGGAGTGAGCTAAAGGAACATCCACCTTGATGTGAAAAACCTACTTTTGAAATACATTAAAAAAATAATAATTGAAAACAAACTTGGTGTGTTTTAGGAGTATCTAGAAGGCTGGTGTGTCTGCAACACAGTAGAACAAGCTAAAGTGATAACAGGTAAGTTTGAGAGGTAGGTAGGGGTTAGATCACATATGG